AGTATGTTGGTGAGTCAGAACAGCCATTGCATAAACGTATGAACGGCCGTCGTAGCGACTATGAATGCAATCCAGACCTTCCTCTCAGTCGACATTTGAGATTCCCTGGCCACAAAGATCAGATCTCAATCGACTGACCATTTTAATCATAGACCACAACGCTGCTTGGTCTAGGGAGGATAGATTCGCTCGGGAAAGATTTTGGATAAGAAAATAAAAAACTTTGGCACCAAATGGGATCGATGAGAAGGTGTAGTTCTAATTCGCGCAGTACTTTTCATTTGGGTTATATTTCATATTACTACGCAGCTTCTGTTTCTATTCCCTTACCTTTGTCAACTCTAAAATTCTAGAATTATACCAGTTTGAATCGAAGGGTGCTATTCCTTTGGGATGTTTAAGTACGCAGCAACGTTCAATTATTTAACCTGTTTCAAATGAAAATTTAAAATTTTTTTTTTATATTAAACATGCAAACGCTTTGATGATTTTTTTTTTCAAATTTTGATATGTTGTTTCCTGTGACTAAATGAAGGTCAAGTTCAATTTTCACGATTTTAGCTTCTCTCGTTTTTGAGTTTTCGACTTTTTAGAAGTCCAAATATATAATTATTATATGATTGAGTTATTTCCCTTTGAACAGAAATAGTGATTTGCAAATATCATTTTCATTAGATAATAATCTATTTCTATTAAAGGATTTATTTCATTACATTACATTGTGTAGATAAAATTGTTGACATTGATAGACATGTTGCAGATCTATATTAGTTTGTGACAAATGAAAGACAAAATATTGGGAACTATTAATTATACCCCACGCAACGAGTTGCGGAGGGTATAATGTTTTTGACCCGTCCGTCCGTCAGTCCGTCTGTCCGTCCGTCTGTCTGTCAGTCCGTCAGTCCTGTTTCTTGTCATCGCAACTCCTCTCAAACCACACAACAGAATTTCACGAAATCTTTTTAGATAATAAGGACATACTATGTAGTTGTGCATATCGACAGGAAATTACGATTCAATTTTTTTTTCCAGGAGTTACGCCCCTTTGAACTTATTTGCCCAATATACTACTGCAACAGTTTGTCATCGCAACTCCTCTCAAACCACACAACAGAATTTCACGAAACCTTTTTAGATAATAAGGACATACTATGTAGTTATGCATATCGACAGGAAATTATGATTCAATTCTTTTTCTAGGAGTTACGCCCCTTTGAACTTATTTACTTTAATGTACTACTGCAACAGTTTGTCATCGCAACTCCTCTCAAACCACACAACAGAATTTCATGAAACCTTTTCAGATAATAAGGACATACTACGTAGATGTGCATATCGACAGGAAATTACGATTCAATTTTTTTTTTCAGGAGTTACGCCCCTTTGAACTTATTTGCCCAAATCTACTACTGCAACCTTTTGTCATCGCAACTCCTCTCAAACCACACAACAGAATTTCACGAAACCTTTTTAGATAATAAGGACATACTATGCAGTTGTGCATATCGACAGGAAATTACGATTCAATTCTTTTTCTAGGAGTTACGCCCCTTTGAACTTATTTACTTTTATGTACTACTGCAACAGTTTGTCATCGCAACTCCTCTCAAACCACACAACAGAATTTCATGAAACCTTTTCAGATAATAAGGACATACTACGTAGATGTGCATATTGACAGGAAATTATGATTCAATATTTTTTTTTGATACAATTTTTTTTTCTTACACTTATTTTATTTCTCCAATGACAATGTGGGGACGTGGGGTATGTGAGCGCGCTCACTAAGGTTCTTTCATTATATATATAAAGTTTGATTGCACTAAGTGTTTTTTAAATAATTTTCACCTGTTAATAGATGACAAAACATCAGGTAAATATCTTATCACACAATCAAAATTGGAGCGACAGATTTATTTGAAAGTTTTCTGTTTCCTAAGTGTTGATGAAAAGATTTGTAGGACGGTATAAATAAAGTTTGAAATTTACTGTTCATTATAAGACATTTTGAAGATAATTACAGATAAGTTTTATAGATTTTTAATAGAAATTGTAATAATGATGAATGACATTTAGGATTTTTTTTTCATCTTTTCTTTTGGAAATTGTTTGAAGAATTTTGTGGTTGGTTTGTTTGTTATTCTGTGTAAACTTATTTTTTGAATGATATATATATTATATATATATACAGCACAAACAACATTTTCCAAAAGACCAAAAAAGTGAAAAAGTATATTTTAACAAAACGCATTTGACTAACAGGTCGAACAACAAATGTTCTTAAACCCTGCTGACTGCCATTGGCGATTGCCAAATAAACGGATCACCGATGTAATAAATGGATCTTGAATATAAATTTAATACTAAACAGAAAACAATAAACTTGCGGAAAAGATGTTATACCGCAAACAAAAGGTGCAAAGGTTTTTGTACACCATATCCGGATTTCGACAATTAATGTCTCTTCAGTGATGTTAGGAATCGAAACGGTATTTGGAAAGCCATACAATTTACCTCAATTTAGGATAGACTCCTGAATTTTGAGGAGTCAAAATAGGATGAACGGATCATATAAACCCGAAGGCAAATATAATACAAGCCCAAACGAAAAAATATAAACAAGTCTAAATTGAAAACAACGTTCAAACCTATGATTGCGTTGGATAAAAACCGCAATTTTGGGTAAAAATTGAGGTAAATTGTATGGCTTTCCAAATACCGTTTCGGTTCCTAACATCACTGAAGAGACATTAATTGTCGAAATCCGGATATGGTGTACAAAAACCTTTGCACCTTTTGTTTGCGGTATAACATCTTTTCCGCAAGTTTATTGTTTTCTGTTTAGTATTAAATTTATATTCAAGATCCATTTATTACATCGGTGATCCGTTTATTTGGCAATCGCCAATGGCAGTCAGCAGGGTTTAAGAACATTTGTTGTTCGACCTGTTAGTCAAATGCGTTTTGTTAAAATATACTTTTTCACTTTTTTGGTCTTTTGAAAAATGTTGTTTGTGCTGTATTTAGACCCCTCTAACAAGAAATTTGTTTTGCATGCACACGTATAAAAATTGCGGTTTTTATCCAACGCAATCATAGGTTTGAACGTTGTTTTCAATTTAGACTTGTTTATATATATATATATATATATATATATATATATATATATATATATATTGATGAAGCAAACTCCTTTAAAAACTAAGCTTAGTTTGTCTATTAATAAACATATATTTAGATTTCTGATTTTGGGCCCAGTTTTCAAGTTTCAAAATTTTTCTGTGTTTGATTTCAACATAAATTGAATATATATAGGGTTCAATTAAAACTCACATCGTTTAAATAAGTTAAATGGATGAAGAAAATGAAGTTTTGCACACTGATGGAGAAAAATCTGATTCATTCGAAAAGATGTCAAACAATTTTCAGGAAAACCATTGAAACTCAAAAAATATTTTGTTGATAAAACACAAAATGCATTTAACTTTAATTTATATATCTAGTGGAATACATATGCATGGAATGATTAAGAATGGACGTTTAGCAAACAACAATCAATCCATCTAAGTTTAATTATGTCTGAGGGAGTTGCTACCATAATTTCACCAAAGTTACGAAATATGGTTCCCGAAACTTCATCATGTTGAATACAAGCTGTATTGTTATTTTAAATAAGGGTTCACTCCCTGAAGCCCCTATTATGGCGATATCTTTAAGTATCGACCCCTCATTACCTGCAAAGATTTTTTGCTCTGAATGTTTTTTATGAAGATTAAACCAGCGATTTGAACACTTTTATAAATCATGTTCTTTGCTTTAAACAAACAAACTAATTTTGTATTGTATATTTGACCACCCCTTGAGGCAGTGTTTTACAGAGGTCTTAAACTTAAGTATAAACAAGTACAAAAATAAGATAAAAACAAAAACAATATTTAAGTACTCATATTCAATTAATACATTGATAAGTACAGTAATACTTTGGATGGTGCAGAGCTCCGTTTATTATTTCAATTTGATCCAGTCCAATGCTTATGCGTATGTTCAATAATCATATTCCGTGGTTAAAGATATTTCCAAGATTTTTTATGTTTAGCTCTCCAGTGTCAAAGGGCCATTTTAAGCTATTTTCATCACTTGGCGTTCGTCGACCGTAGTCGTTCGTTTACTTTTACAAACATCTATGAAACTACCATGCTAATTGCAACCAAATTCGGCAACAGCCGTCCTTAGAGTAACTAGTTTAAAACAAAACAATTTTCGATGAACCCATTGACCAACTAACGTTGCCGCCATGGCCAAGAATAGAACATATCGCGTAAAATGCAAGTGCTGTCTATGGTTTAAAAAAAACAACGTTGTAGTGAGAGATACTGACAAGTACATAAAAATCAAGAATGTCAAGATCCACATATTGTCCATTTTGTCCAAAACAGTCAGACGATAGGTATGACTAAAGCTCTATATTCTTTGAGAGATCTGGTACACTAATATAGCATTACAACTGCAATTGTTCCTGTACTAGTTCATTGGTTATGTAAAAAAATCGAAAATGTATAAAGATAAAATCATATTAAAAGCACCACCCAAAAAAAAAGAAGTTTTTCAAACCTTTTCTGAAGTTCTTTAGAGACTTTTTTATCAATAATATTAACGGTACAAATTTCACTGCAGCAGATTCGTATTTCGACAATCAATGTCTCTTCAGTGATGCTTGAGGCCAAATGTTTGAAAATTCAAAACCTATTAAAACGTTGAACAACTGATCAACTTAAAAGGACCTAAACTATAGCCAAATCCGGACGTTACCATTTTAGCCTGCTTAAATGTTTTGCTTTCAGATTTGAAATTCAAATTATTCTAAACTTTAATCCTCCCCTAAAGATTGTTTTAAAAATTCAAAGAGCAAAAAAGTGCATACCTCACAAAAAAATGTCATATGAATTTAAAAGAACAAGTTTGATTTTTGTCGAACTATTTTTTTCTTATTTGTTTAGCTTGAACGCAATGCCAGAAATAAACAAAGGTGACCAAAAACAGTTATCGGAATGGATTAAAGGGCGGCACAAGTACACATTGTTGTTCAAAGCATCAAGGGATGGTTGTGTTGCCACAACATTCCATTCAAAGTGCAACAATAAAGGTGCTACAGTTACAGTGCTGTATAATACCAGTGGTTCTGTTTATGGAGGTTACACATCTATAGCTTGGAGAAATGCTAACGCATATTCACTCGACAATAAAGCATTCTTGTTTAGATTGTATCAAGATGGAACCTTCAAGCCAGTAGTGTTCACTGTCACTAATCCAGAGAATGCTGTGTACGACCACCAAAACTATGGTCCAACATTTGGTGGTGGACATGACTTGTATACATTTAATGGAACTGTAACTCATGATGGTACCTGCTATCCTTTAAACGGTTCTGCAAGCTTTGGTACTTCTTATAACATGAAAGGAGAGAACTTGAATACAATTTGTAATGGGAATTTGAAAGTTACAGATCTTGAAGTTTACATGGTAGAGGGTAAGTAAGACGTGTTGTTATTAAAATGTTGGTCTAACACTAAGGTATATCAAATATTTTACCTTACCTAATGCATATGAAAATCAAAAGAAATAATTTTCCAGTTTAGCACAAACAGGACTTATCAAACTTTTTGCATAATACAAATAAAACAGAAATGACTTGCATGTATCATCTTTAGATGGAGATTCCCACCATTCGGAGGACGTTAATAGGCACATTCAATATAATCCAAAAGACAAATATCAAAATCTTATACAGAATTGGCTCTAATCAAAACTTCCGATAATTTAAAATTCAAATAGACAAAAAAAAATTAAGAAACTAGAACTCTCACTGTAACTGACTGAAATCTCAAGTGTCGATTTAAATAATTGCTTTGATTATTTTTGCCATATTTCAAGTCTAAAACATGAGAAAATAAAACCTGCAAATTGTAAGAATATGTAAAATACATGATTAGGTAAGAAATTCAGTTAGGAAAGGGGGAACTAGAACTAGTAATGTTGTCAATATTTAAAATCTAAAATAAGAAACACAATAGCTTTACTATGATATCATGTTTGCATTCAAGATGATCTGGTTAAGAGGTTAAGATAGCTAAGAAGGTTTTACCTTCTATTAAACCTTGAAAATTGCGTATGAAAAATAATACTGAGCATTAATTTACCAGAATCAGATATAGAATTAGACAGTTGAAATATTTTTCAGAACTTCCAAATGCTCCTTTGGAAAATCCATGGAGGAGAACACCTGAATGGAACCTTAAGGTGAGGTGCTAACAAATTACCAAATAATATACCAAACACAATCTTTACATTTACGCAAAACCATTTTAATAGTTAATAAGGTTTTTAAGTCTCTTGCTTATCTGCACATAACATATGCCATTGGAACGAAGTCAAAATCACGATGACATTATTTGAAGGTAAATAGTTTAAACATATTTTATTTGCTTAAATATGCAAAAGGGTTGAGACACAAATAGTCTTTTCCCCTCAACAATGGTTACTTATCGATATATAGATATAATTTATGTGATTATTTCTACAGTTCTTGGAAGAGTTGAAGACGAATATTGAACATTACAAACCATTGAAAGAACTGAAAATTCAGCAGGCCAGGATTTTACTCGTTGGTCAAGTTGGAGCAGGGAAGTCGAGTTTTTTCAACACCATCAACTCTATATTCCGTGGATACATCACTAGTCAGGCATGCAGCGGTAACGCTGAACATAGTCTTACAACAGTGGTAGGTGTTTTATGATTAGGTTTATCACGAGTAAACTGTGGCACACGTATACAACAAAATTGCATTTACCGTGTTATATATCTGTCATTCAATTTCCTTGTTTGTCTTCATTTTAAAAACAGTTTGATAATACTGATTTCCGTCCTTACGAGTATGTTAATTTATCTAAATACCTTATTTTAATTTAGCTTCTATAACGTAGCTTCTTTAATTCTATCTTATGTATGCAATTTTTCAGTAAAAACAGTTGTCCAAATTTGAAATAAATTAAGATAAAATGAAAATTCAGTAAATTTCGTCATTACATATATCTCGGTATTTCATTAGAGATATTTTTATTTGTTTTTATGTTTACTCGATTTTAGTACCGAACGTACCAAGTTAGAAATGGACCATCTGGAAAACCAATGCATTTTCGCCTTCATGATACTCGTGGTCTAGAGGCTGACCAAGGAATAGACGGACAAGAAATTAGTTATATCGTAGACGGACATTTGCCAGACAGACATCAGGTAGTATTCACTTTGATAGGAATAAACAGGTGTTTTCTGTGTTTGATTTTTAAATTCTTGTTTAGACCTATAATAACTCAAAAAATGCACAGGTAAATTAATTGTTGGCAGATGATAAAATAAAAGCCTGTTTAATTAATTATTTGTTTTCCGGGAACCAAAATACATAAACATTTTTCTTTTGGCTTTTAGCGACACTCAGGAATATTCTATTAGAATTAAAAATGTAACAAACTGTGATTAAAAATGAATGTTGATTCATTGAACTGTTGTCTTTTTTCAGTTTAATCCATCACTTCCAATTTCTCCAGAGTTACATGGATTTATAACCAGTCCACAACTGTCCGACAAGATACACTGTGTAGCATTTGTTATGGATAGTAGTACAGTTGATGTTTTACCAGAAAAAGTTCTTGAGAGGATAAAGAGCTTACAGACAAGACTCAATCAAAAGGGTATGGTCCTATTACCACAGCATGTAGAAATATGTAAAATACATACAACGATCCTGTCATGTAATCTTCTTTTGAAATAAAGAAAGAGGCGGAAAATATATTCCCAAAAACAAAAACAAAAAACATCAGATAAGTTTGAAGTATATTTTTTAAGACAAAATATGATGTCAAGCCAAAAATTTTCAAAACTTTTTTGTGTACACAATTTAAGAATGAATAGCTTTTCTAATAATATTGACATATTGACATATATTGACTGTTTATGTTTAAAAGAAAATTCTTCTTTTAGTGAAAAAAGCATCAAGATCATTTAATTGTTCTGTCAGACAGAACGTTTTCTTCGCCGAATGCGAGACAAAAGGATTACATTTTCATGGTTCAGCGACTGCTTGAAAAAAATATAGTCTTTTTGTCATGTAAAATACTCACTCATTATGAGCACTAAGATAACTATATTTAGTATATGGATCTTTGAAAGGTCTACATGTCTGTCAGACAGGGTTCACCTGACCTCAACCTCATTTCATGGATCAGTGATCAAGGTGAAGTTCGTACCTTAGATACTATAAGCAATGGGTCAGCTATATTTGGCGTATTGAATGATTGTAAGGTGTACAAGTCCGACTGGCAGGTTCATCTGACTTTGACCTTATAGTTATATTCATGGTCAATGTTAAGTTTTTGTGGTTTGGTTTGTTTTTCATATGCTATAATCAATAGATCAGCGATAATAGGTGTATGGAATGATTGAAAGGTATACATGTCTATTTTGGCAGATTTCTTCTGATTGATCTTGACCATTTTACATGGCTCATTGTTCAATGAAAGGTTTTCCGGTTTGGTCTATTTATCAGACACTATAAGCCATAAGGCCATAATATTTGGTGTATTGAATGATTGTAAGGTGATATGTCTGGCAGGTTTCACCTGACCTTGACCTCATTTTCATGGTTCATTGGTCAATGTTCACTTTTCATGCTTTTGTCTATTTATCAGATACTTTAAGCAGTAGTTCAACACTATTTGGTGTAGGGAATGAGTGTTAGGTTGTACATGTCTATCTGGTAGGGTTCATCTGACCTTGAACTCATTTGTGTGGATCATTGATAATGTTAAGTTTATGTGATACTAGAACTTGTAGTAAAACCACGTTAACAGACTATCAACATAAATTCAGTCATGATTAATACAGCTGGCAATACATTTTAGCGTGTGTACTCTTGTTAATTAAAACGTTATAAAAGTAAATTTAGATTGATATAATCAATATCTTGCTTTTTGTGTATAGTGTGCAGTGTTTGTATCGTTATTTGTCTTTTCGTTTATATTTTGGACATATTAATGTTGTCTTTTTTTATTGTACTTATGCGATTGCCCTTTGGTATTTTCTCTCGCTAATAAAACTGAATTTATTGTCCAATTAACATACTGATTTATTTGCGTATTTATTAATAATTGCAATTAATAGGATAATATATAAGTTGAACGGGATTTTTTTTATGTACTAGTTATTGCTTTCGATTAGAAAGATACATACCGAGAACTGAATTGTTGCTAAAAATATGTTCTAATAAAATACACTAGCAACTGAAAACATGAATGTTTTTTTTCAGGTGTACCACAGGTAGTGCTATTGACCAAGATAGACAAAGTATGTCCTATTATAACTGAGGAGTCTGTTTCAAGAGTGTTTTATAGTCCAATAATTCAGGAGGTTGTAGACCGGGTATCACAGATCATGGGTCTCCCAAGGGCTCATATACTGCCCCTTAAAAACTACGAGAGCGAGATGGAACTTGATGATAATATCAGCACTCTAGCTCTCATGACATTACAGCAAGTGTTACGATTTGCTGATGACTATATGTACAATTATCTTGATTTGTTGGAGGAGGGAAAGCTCAAACAAGAGAACATTCGTGAATAATGAAAAACATTGTAAAGAAAAGTTCATTATGAGCCAATAAAACATGAATATGGAATATAACGGAGAAAGTTTGGTGGATATACTCGATTTCCTTATTATGGCATTTTATTTGTCAAACCTTCTCATGGAGAAAGTTAATGCTTTTATTAACAACAGCTTTTCTGGTAATGAAAACTTCCATTAAAATTATTTACCGATGAACAGGTTTGTTTTTGTATATTCATGCGTCTCTCTTGCAAATAAAACAATCTATTCCGTACTTCATGGAACATATAGTTAAAAGATGACATGATATTTTTGAAAGCCATTTGTTAATCTATATGTGAGTTTTGTGAGTGTTGTGTTATTAGTTGGTGTTTTATTGATAAGCATGATATCTTCAAAGACTTATTACAACTACTGGGTTGATACCAATGTTGGTCCGGAAGGTTAAACCTGCTCGGTAGTCCGCACTCTTGTGTTGGCATTAAATATCAGTGATGTGGTCATTTTCTTTTACTTTACCGTTAATAAGATGATTAAATATTTCGAAACATTTAGGTTTTCTACCTCCATACATGGGTGGTCTTAGTAAGATGTTGCATTTTTTTGTTTTTTTTTTAATTTCCAATGTTCTTCAGCTTTAAATTTGTCTTCCGACTATCTTGATGCAAATGCCACTGATGAGTCATATGAAGACGATACACGCATCTGACGTACAAAATCATCAGCTAGGTATATTTGGTGAGTTTTTATAGAAATCCTTCATATTTTCTTTATAAATTTACAAAATAACTTTCATATACAAGGCACAAGATATTTTATTTTATTTTGAGTGAAATATAAAGATTTCTTTTACTATTTAAAATTTCGATTCCTACATCAAAATGATTTGAAAGTATTCACCTAGTTTATATCAAAATCTGTACTTACCTGTCTGAAAAACATTTGCAATTACCCCTTGGTAGTCCCTCACAATCGCTAACTTTTAAATTATCTCCCTTTAACGATCTCCCAAATAGAAGATCACTGGCTGTAGGCTAATCGCAATTTGGTGCAAGCAATCGTTAAAATACTATAGAAAAAAATAGACATCGAGTGAAATGGAAGATAAATATAAGAGTTGTGGTAAGTGTACGAAGAGTGTTTCAGACATAGAATATGCCACAAGGCTTTTCCTTGTAATATTTGCCGCGAATGGGATGACGAAAGGCGATCTTTGGTGGATAAGATGCTGGAAAAAGCAAGAGCCAAGCTTTCTTTTGCCGGAAACCCTTCTGTGTAGGAGGTAGGCAAAAAGAATGTCGCAAAGCCGAGTGAATTGGCGTCGCCGTCGGACACAAAATATTTAAAAGTCCAAATTGATTGCTGTGCAGATGATCATGAGACACAGTTACAGAGTACTAGTACTAGTAGTACACCTGGAGTACAGTACGAGGCTTTTAAATATCCCACAAATTTATAGCGGATCAGGTTCAAATTCAACTCAAACATTTGTTGCCACAGGCACAAGGATTAAATGCAAGTGATACAGATCATGCAGAGACAATGAATCAAAAGCATATGCATGCCCTCATTGACTCAAATTGTGTAAATTCTGATGAAAGTCAATCATTTTCTAGGCCAAGGTCCCACTACAGTAAATTTATACCTTCTGATGATCAGATTTCTGTTGTTTCACATGAAGTCGATGATGAGATAAGTATGGGTGGGTCAGCTATTTCTGACGAAAACAATAATGATTCTCACTCTCAGTCACAACCTTCTCACGATCAGGAATTTTCTCTGTTTAGTGAAGGAGCACCAGGATCTACTGATCCAATTAAATGGAATAATTTTCTTCATAAATTAACAGCCAAATTGAAAATAAATTGTTCAGAGGAAACTGAAGTAGATTTAGTTAGAACTTCTTATTTGCCTTCAAGACTAAATCCTGGCAATTCAGATAAAGCAACTCATTTGAAAATATCATTAGAGGGTACTACAATTGAAGTTTTCGAGAATGTCGAAAATAAGCTTTGTCTGGTAGGCTTAAAAATAGGTCAGTTCGCCTGAGAGACGATAAGGCTTTTATGGTTTCAAAAAAAGATTTCACCGAATTTTGTTCTCCGCCCAGGCTTGATGATAATATAGAGGAGGGTTTGTCTTCCACTATGGGCAATAAGAAAAAAGGTTTTGTAGACCGTAAAAAGTTTTCACACTCCTTACCTTCCTTCCATAAGGAAATGGATACTGAATTTAAAAAAGTTGACAATTCAGCTAGGACATTGTTAAGAAGTGTTTCATATGGTTCTTTGATAGCAAGCTATATTGATGTTGCAGAATCAGAAGATTACAGGGTAGAAGCATGTTCAGCTTTGGTAGCCTGTTTCAAATCAATGGCAGATATGACTTCACGTATAATTGCTAATAAACAGACGAAAAATTTTCTTGAAATATGTAGATTTCAGTAGCCAATCCACATCAGCTAAATTGTTGAATTTACATTGGAATGGCGCACAACTTTTTGGTGGTAAATATTTTGATACTTTGCATTCTTCTGCTGAAAATATAAGAGATGCTAAAGAAACACAAAACGTTATCGTTCTTCATTTGTTCCTGGGGGGCAAAAATTTGATGAAGGATCTAGAAAAAGAAAATATCAAGAAACTTCTAATGTAACCTATGTCAAACCTGCAAAAAATTCAAGATATGATAAGCAGGATTCTTACGACATAGTGGCATTGACACTTTGTCTAATTTTCGTGCCTTGCCAGCAAAACAAGGAGGAAAAGGATCTTTTTATGGAAAAGTTCCTCCCAGAAAAATTTCAAGAAATAAACAATTATTTGTCTGCGGTAATCCTCCAGGTAGGAGCTCGGTTGTTACATTACCACAGTCAGTGGGCTCAAATAACTCAAGACAAGTTAGTACTTCAGATAGTGAAGAACGGTTTAATGTTAGATTTTGTAAGTCTTCCAGCTTTTACAGGAGTAAAAGAGACAATTGTACCCAGAGAAGGTACAAAAAGGTCTTCTATATTAGAAGAGGTAAATTCTTTATAAGAAAAACGTGCTATAAAGTCTGTTCCGAAAAGTGCAGAAAATCAGGGTTATTACAGTACAATATTCATGGTACCGAAACGACAAGGAGGTCTGAGACCAATTCTAAATTTAAAACCACTGAACCAGTTTGTCATACCTCAACACTTCAAAATGGAAACTCTCCTATCTATCCTAAAAAGTCTGAAAATTGGGGACTGGGCAGTAAAACTGGATTTGCAAGATGCATATTTCTATATCCCCATTCACCAGCATTACAGAAAGTTTCTCCGCTTCAGCATTTTGGGGAAAAGTATCAATACCGAGCTATGCCGTTTGGTCTCCCATCGGCTCCAAGGATTTTTTTTAACAAAAGTGATGGCAGTAGTAGGTGCGTTTCTGCGAAATCAAATGTTTCACATATTTATATACCTGGACGATTGGATGTTAAAAAACAGCAGCAAAGAAAGCTGACAAAACAATTACAGTACACTCAGGAATTGTTAAAAAATCTGGGTTTGATAATCAATGTGGAAAAATCTTGTTTAATTCCGACTCAAATAATAGAATATCTAGGAGCAGTGATTCACTTAAAAGAGGGTCTTGTTTTTCCGTCTCAAGAGAGATTCAAAAATATAAGTCAGATGATTCAAATATTCCTATATTCACAAACAGTAGAGGCACGTGTAATATTGAGACTACTTGGCCTAATGGCTTCATGCATAGATTTGGTTCCATGGGCCCGACTGCACATGAGACCACTTCAGCTTTATCTTCTAGTTTGGTGGAGACCAGCGCTACACAGTTTAAATAATTTGATTCCATTGTATCAACCTCTTCAGGAACATCTGTTCTGGTGGCTAAACCGAAGAAATTTTTTCAAGGGAGTGTTATTAGCTCAGGTGACTCTAGTAACAGATGAGTCACAGTGAGGATGGGGAGCTCATATAAACAATTATCAGATTGCAGGTATTTGGCCACCTCAGTACTAAGTGAAAAACACCAATTAGCTAGAACTGAAAGCTGTGCAGTTACCACTGCAAACATTTCTGATAAAAGTACAATACAAAAGTGTGCTAGTGAGAACAGACAATGAAACTGTCGTCAGTTATCTGAACAAACAGGGAGGGACCCGATCCCCAGAGTTTTGTTACTTGGCATGGGATCTTTTGAAATGGTGCATAAATCACAATGTCAAAATACAAGCAGTTCATATTCCGGGGAAAAAGAATATTATAGCAGATGCCCTGTCAAGGAGGAAAATGACCATTCGTTTGACAGAATGGGCGTTATATGTGACAATAGTAAATTTGTTGTTCCTTCAGCTAGGAACACCAGTAATAGATCTTTTTGCAACTTCAATGAACAAGAAGCTGCCTGTGTTTTGCTCTCTTTGGCCGAAAGAAACAGCGGTGTCAGTAGATGCACTGTCGATGAAATGGACAGGCATTTTTGCTTATGCCTTCCCTCCACCAATAATTTTTAACAGAGTATTACAAAAAATACAGAAAGAGGACTGTGTAATTTTACTGATAGCCCCAATGTGGCCAAGACAGTCATGGTACAGTCAACTTCTCAACCTGTCAATAGACTTTCCAATACAACTGCCTGTCCAACAAAATCTTTTAAGTCAAAATGGAATTTATCATCCAAATCCAAGTGTTCTAAATCTTGTAGCTTGGAAAGTGTAAAAAAATCATACACTGCAAAAGGATTTTCACCAAAAATTGATTCAATTATTTCCAATGCACGAAAACAATCTAAACAAACAGTTTATAATGCAAGGCTCAAGATATTTGACAGCTGGTGTCAAGAACGGATTATCAATCCCAGTACGTCAACTGTACCAGAAATAGCTGAATTTCGTATGTTTTTACATACTGTCAAAAATTGTAAGCCAAACACTTTAGCTGGTTACAAGTCAGCAATAGCTTTGATACATTCATCTAGAGATAAAAATTTCTAGTAACATGGATTTGCGTAATTTAATTAAAGGATTATACAACATTTATCCGCCAATAAGACAGTTGGCGCCAAATTGGGATTTGCCGTTGGTTTTGCTAGTGTTGAAAAGACTCTTTTGAACCACTAGAGGAAACAGAATTAAAATATTTAACCATGAAGACAGTTTTTCCTATGGCATTAGCTTCTGCGGCAAGAGTCAGTGAAATACACAGTTTCACTATTAATGACAAACATTTC